TCTGAGCTCGCCCGCAGCCTTGATAAAATTGACCTGTTCGGTGAGTTCCACTGTCTTTCTTATGTGATAGATGTCTAAACTTCTTGATCTCACGTCACATTGTTCGGTTGTCCTTCCTCGGTTGGTCGGTTTTGTATGCAAATAACGCCAACTTTATAGTGGTTACTTGCATGGTATTTTGCTTGATACTTCCTGTGGAAATAAGCTTGACACTATTTGTAATTTTGCTCTACACTTTACTGACCACCATTATTCACAAAGCGCTTTGTGTACATATGAACAAAAAAGTGCTCCACTCGTGTTTTTATTCTTGTTGGATGTGTAGGCACTAGATGCAAAGTCCATGCATTTTTTTCCCGAACTTACCAACGGGCTGTTTTTTTGCATTCATGCATAATCAATACATGTGCACCGTGATCTGGCTTGCGACGTGATACTTTGCATACACGTAAATCGTGTGGGTACATGCGTTTTTCGCGCGATGACTCCTATATCTCAGTGAGAACAGAGAATCTGGTGACTACTGCCACTTCGTACTAAGAGTGTATGGGAACGAAGAAAATGATCGTGTTGAAATCAGATAAGTCATCAGATTTCATGGTTTTGAAATAAAAAGAGATACCATCCATACTGAATATTTATAACAAGTTCATACTTGTCATCAAAACCAGAAGTGTGGTTGCTATGGAATACCGAATACTTCGACACCTTAGAGTGCTTCTCTTAATCGAACTATGAAAGTGCTCTTCAAAGCTTAAATTCACGTGGTTTATGGGCGTCACAGCTGTATGGTTTTCGAAAACGAATAAGCTCGATATTGTATTCTGACCAGTCGTATTGCTGATTAACCCATTACAGCACAGACTAGCCCGTTAATAAGTGCATTCCTTGCTATCTTTCAAACAGAGGTTCAACACATAACCACCTCAAAGACTAGTTCGGTTTGATCGAGGATCCTGTTGGTTGTAACAGACAACTGCATGTGTTTAGTGGAGATTCAGTCATTATTTACTAATTCCAGCCTAAATGTAGTGTTTGAACTGGTTGACACCGATAGTTCTGTTGGTTTATTAAAACCGCTCCTTTTTACCACGTCCGGTGAACATCAGATTTCAGTTACAGAAAACCCTCCTTCGAAATATAGGTGAAATATCTATTGGGAGCCCGTTAAACCCTTCCACTTTTGATTCCTTCATGCTGAAGATTGAGAGAAGATTACTGCCATCCATTGCAACGGTAGTATTCTATAAACATTGTGGATGATGGTTACACAGTCGCAACAAACCGTTGATGATGTGGCAAAACAAATGGAAAGTGGTCATCCTCATTTTAATATCGACTGTGAACTATACACGGAAGAGTTACTTACTGTTTCCAGATGTCTCCTTGTTAGTCCCAAAGATGATGGATCAACGAGCAGTCTGGTTCATTCTCATCAACACTCCCGGCTTTGAGCGACACTGGTGGCTGCTGTGGCTCATGCTGTCTTTGGTCTTAACGGTAATCTACGGAATGACATTAGCGTAAAGACGAAAAATAGAAACAGTGGAGCTTCATGGAAAAGAATAGTCAGTAATCTCGCTGATACGAGGTCGCCACTGCGTGTGTCACCCTGTCATGCCCAACGCTTCCAATTAGCGGCGCAGATGGTCTCCAGCTTTCTAACCGAACAGACGACACCTGTCAACGTTGTCCACCTTTGTTAGTTCTGTCTCAGTGATTTTCGTGCGCCTGTCCTACTTGGTCTTTAGATTATTTAGCCAACGAAATTCGAGTACTTTCAGCAACGTGGCACCATAGTGGATACCTGATGCAATCCCCAGGTAGACACAGCAAACTGCGGACACCCGTAGACAGGAACATTAGTGCTGAACTAATTTTCATGGAAAACAGTGTTGCGATTCTGCTCGGGGAACACTTGGTCTCATCGGTTAAACGAATCATGGTTGTGGTTGTCATCATAACCATCGACCTGATCAGTAAACTACTGAAAGAGCAACTTGTTGACGCCAATGTACGTTATGTCTGTCACTTTGTTTATAACCACAGCATAAGTTACTTCGGCAGAAGTCTGAGACAAACGGTCGTTTACTAGAGTGTATTCTAACATTGACTGCGCGGCTTAACTTGTTGATCCTGGTCGCCCATGAACATCGGACCTCATCCGTCGCCTGAAACCCACTGGCTTGAAGTCGTCAGATTAATGTCAAGCCAACATTCAGGTTTATAATGCATCACACTAATCCTCTCTTTCTGTGTTACGCCCGAGTGATTGGACTTAGCTATCTCTGGTCAACATGTGTTGGCGCACACGTTCGGTTTGGATTAGTTTTCTTTTGTTCGTCATATTTTCAATTGTTGTCATTCGATATGGAAGAGGGAAAACGAAATACTTTCTTGCGTTTTTTAGGCTTCTGGCATCTGTGTTCGAAGTGAGGATGGGAACTAACTGTTTTGAACCTATGGAACGTTCACTTTTGGAATGGTTACTAAACCCGAAAAAAATCGGGTGCGTAAAGAACAGATAGTATTCCGATACGGGTGTGGGTGCACTGATTACCATTCTATACTGTGGCGGACCTTCAAGTATCGGCACTCTTACGGTCAACTGACTGTCGTGATATTCTTCAATCTAAAGGCTGCCTTAGATTCGGTTACCCGTGACGTTTTGTGGAACTGTCTCCCTTGTCAAAGGGTTCCAGGTCAAGCTATCTGTATACTCACTTTGCAATTAAAGTGAAAGTTTATGAAAAGTTATCCCGGGTGTTCATCAATTCTTGTGATCTTCGCCAAGGGTGACCGATTTATCTCTTCCTGCTCGGTTTCGTCATGGGCAACATCTGGGTGAGGGTTGAATTCGAGGTATCCAATGAACTTGGTGTTGAGTTTCCTCTTGGCATTACGTTGACCAAAATGGAGTATGCAAGTGCCAACATCTTGCTTGGCCCGTCTGCCAAAGATATGTAGACCATGCACAATATGGTGATTGACTGAGGTGGTTTTGTATGGAACTTTCAAACTGGTGTTACCTTCTTCATTGCAGGTAATCTGCCTGGGACATACTTAGATAGCAAAATGCCATCAGCTTCTTCTGTTGCTGATGTGATATCAGCAAAGATAGCAAAGCGTGATTAAGCCTTATCAACCTGCATCGTCTGTGACGTCAAAAAGATGTCCGGTTGTCGCTGAAACAAAGGGTACATAATGCCTGTGTGCGTTCCGTTTTGCTTTGTAATTCGGAAACGCGTCGTTTCCGTGACGAAGAAAAAAAACAAACTTACTGTGTTCAACCATCGTTGTCTTCGTCAGTTAGTTCCAATCAAACATGATCGCGTGAGCAATGCAGCCGTTCGCTAGCATATATTTCCGAACGCTCGAGATGTGCGATCAATTGGTCAGCTAATCACAGCCTGCGGTGATTAAGTAACGTACTCCCTATGCCTGCTGAACGCTTATCGCACCGATCATTACTAATTGACACTATCCCCAGTTGGGTAAAATCCCTTGATGCTCACGAAGTATGAACACCTCGATTGTTCCACTGGATACGATGGATATGTGTCTAGTGTCCAGTTGAGGTAGTCGTAAACACTCAAATCATTGACCAGAAACCTAGTCGGAGACGACACGTTGCACAGTCAATAAAGTGCCTGCATTCATACCGTTCCTGTAGTTCTGCCGCTTGACCTTGTTTAGCAGTTCTTCTTTCTGGTGAATTTTTCTTCTAAGCTGTTTGACTTCACTGTTATAGTGAGCGGCGACTCTGGCCATATGGCATTCTTTTAGTCAGGCCTATGGTCACTGTAAATGAATGAGACTAGTCATGTAAAGCACGTGTACAAGACGTACGTGTGGTAGGAATAGTACAAACACCTCGTAATTAGAGAGGGTAAAAGATCCGAAATTACGTAGGCATCCCAAACATTTACTTTTGTTTCGCCCAGAGAATGTTAATGAATTTACGCTAATAATTAATCAAGGCCAAGTTGGTCTGTTTGTTTGCTTCACTCAACTCTGGATCAATGTTGTTTGTTCCGAGTACGTTGTCATTTTTTAATGGAATTCAGTTTATGAAACGAAATGAACATAATCTCTCTTGTCACTGAAAACAGTTGAGGAGGTTCAAACAGCAGTTAGCTATTCTGTCCGTTCACAGACCATCATATGCACCTAGATGAACAGACCGAGATATTGTGGTCAAGTGCATGAAAACATAAATGTATGAGTGGAACGTGCCATCCAAATCACATCAGACGGTTGGTGTGTTGTAATTCCTCCAGATCATATGACTGAAAGATCCTTTCTTGTTCTGCGTGTAATCAGATTGTATCTGACCAGCATCCTCAATGGAGAACTTGCAGCTACTCAAAGTCCACACGCATAAACCGTTAATAAAGCTGAGGTCGGCCAACGCTTGCCTTTCAGATGAACGATCGGTTGTTGCGCTGAGCCTTTCACGCCAGTGATTGAAACGATTTGTTTGAACGTATTTCGGATTTAGATATCTGTGTTAATTGTATCACAACCGTGAAACATGATAACGAATCTGCCAACCAGAGCTAATATGATAGCATTCCAATTGCAACCGCCGATGTTAATCCTGTTCTTTTCCATAAAATGGTTTTTGTTTTTATTACTGACGAGTAGTAGGGGATTGGACGTCCCACTGATTCAACATCACCCATAACTGACCGAAGCTGTCACATTCCCATAGTCGGCCCCTTTCGAAATGAAACACTAGACTTGAGTTTTGCTCCTGGTAGAGCTCGTTACTAGTAGCATATCTTTGCCACGGCCGGAATTAGAATTCCGACCACGCTTTTATGAGGTAATAAATTAAATTTCTATACTCAACAATGGCACTGGTGGATTCCAGCGTGAACTGTTCGATAAATCCCGCCGGGACAGTCGATCTCCTGGATCATTTGGTGGATTCCATATGAGACAGTGGGACGGGTGGGTAACCAAGTCCAAATGTGAAATTTTCGAACTCCTGGCGTGGCTTTGTAGCTCAGTTGGTATAGCACTCGTCCCGTTGAGGCATGGTGTTTCTGTCGCTGGTTCGAATCCAGCCGAAGCCCTGACTCTTCACAATTAGTTCTCATCTAAAATCATAAATCCACCAAACCACTTATTAGTAATAAATCAAAGAGTTTCGTTTTTTATGGCTTGTCACTTTAGTCAAGTATTCTGCACCGATGATGATTACGTTGTTGTATGCTGATCCTTCAGCTATCTGCAACGGTGAGAACAGATCACTTAGGATGATGGATGAAAGAAAGCGAATTTCGACGGCTAACAAACGTTCGGTTCGCATAAACCTAATGACTTATGATCATGTAAAGGATACGCGTTTTCTTCCGTATGCTCTTATGCTGAGCGTACCCTTTCTGATTAGACAATCAAAATGATTTAACGTTCCTGGGCAGAGGGCAGGCTGGTACATACATACACGAAATATTATAACTCGTTAGTCGATCATTTTATTCCTTACTATTAACCGTAATATCAGGGATTCATCATTTGTTTTTTCTGTGATTTACACCACATTTACCACTCATTTTTATTACCTCTCTTGTTCGCATCACTTTTTATAAAACCTCGGAAACCGTGTGTCGTCCAAATGCTTGGTTGTACATTCTTTATAGTCGTTAATATTTCAAGATAGAAACTAGTGTCTAGTACTCCTCTTCGAAACAGGCGGGCTGAATTTTCTGTTTGAATTTGAAAGCTGGCGTCAACTGTAAATGAGCTTTAATTTCAGTTGGAATGATTGTCAACATGGTTTATCTCTCCTTCTCGGATAATTTCTCACAACCTTGAATGATTTTGCGTGCAGTGATATATATTTGTTTAGGTTGCGTCTTTACTGGACCACTATCAGTTATTTGATGTTGATGATTCACTGTTCACATTTCGCACTCCGAAACCAAGAAGCCCAATCATTCAGATCTAGGGTTTGGTATGATAGTTGCAAGGTAGTTCCAAGCTTTACCCTACCGAACTTTAGCAGTGGGAACTAGGATGCCAAATCGGAATAGCTGACCATTTGTGACATAGTGACAGTCTTGTGGAATTAAATCAGTGCCCGTTGAGTTTCTTAACGCTTTTTTGTTTTGCGGTTCCCGGTAGTTGCTTATATGGTCTGGTCGCTTTTTGTGAGATCACAACTGATTGTACATGTTTTCTGGCGGACAAACACGACTTGTGGTTTTTGACTGTTTTCTCGTGGATAGGTCACAAACTCACACAGTTCATTCTGAGTCTCATTGCTCAACATCAGTTGAAAATGATCGTTTTGTGGGCAAATTAAACTGATCACCACTAAAAAAATCGCACAGTCTTTCAGTTATAGGCCACACTGACCCGTTTCTTTTCTTTGCGTGTGGTTGATTTTGTTGGTTTTACACGTGTTTTTTTGTTTCATTACAAAGAATGACATCTCTTCTGATTGTTGCATAACCAGCATTCAGAAGCCCTTTTACGCATGCCGGCTTGTTTATCTATTATTCACTCTGTTATCCAACATGAACACTTTATTGGCAGACAGCATGACGGTGGCTTAGAGAAGGGCTAGTACGGAGGTCAGACGTAAACTTCATTTATACTTGTTGGTCTCACAAATGGATATGCGTTATAAGAACCTATTTGTTGTTATACAACCACATGAGATAACAATCCCGTTTTAGCTTCATTCTTTTAACTCGGAAAAAGACTCAACCAATGCGTTTCACTTTTTAAATGTCAAATTAACCAAACGGTACACTGTCGTAGAACAACATGGACGGGTCACTATACTAACTTCAACAGTTTTGTATCCATCAAACAAAAACGAAACCCAGCTCAATGCCTGGCAACCAGAGCGAGAAAGGTTTGTTGGGATAACACAGGAGAGCAAGAAGTGTAAGCCGTTCAAAACTTGTTAAGAGAAGATAACTATCCGAAGCACTTCATTACTTTGAATATGATGAGGTAATGCCAATAGTTGAAAAGAAATCGGTGTTTATAAAACTTCCGTTTTGAAGGAATGTTGCAACATATTAATTTGACTGTTGAACCTACCGGTCACTTAGATGTACCTTTTCAGCGGCAACCTAAAGAAGCTGGCTCACAGCAATACGAAAGTTAAGCTTGTGTTTGAGAGGCAGGCTACCAGCGTACGGTGAACCAACGCTCGTTTATTCGTTTTCATGCTGTTATCGTGCTGTTGACTATGTTGGTCGAACGACTAAGCGCTTGTCAAAAACAGTCAGGGAATATCACGCAGCCTGAGTCTTCACCGGTTGCTGCAGATCACTTACCAGCACCATCTTCGTACATCAAGTCACTAAAGCATTCCGGATTGTCTATAGAGTTGCCGTCACTCAACCCATCTTGGCAACCACAGAATCGACTATAATCGGATTACGCAGTCTTAAGTTGTGTTCTCAAGAGAGTACAATCCGTGTACCTTCTGTGACAATCGATCAATCCCAACCAGTCTAACCACACAAATCTTTGACCGTGTGACATAACATCCCGTTAGAGTCCCGTCCAGGTCAATCACTTCTTGGATTTTACGATCTGTCTTGACACGTTTTCATCAAACTGTAATTGTATTGGCTTGAGAAGGGATTTTTGAAAACGATTGTTCGTTACATTGTTACAAGTACATTTGAATTGCAAGAAACATTATGGGAAGTTGTTCGACTAACACGAAGGCAAATTAACCATTCAGCACTGCATGTGGTAGTGAATGAATAGTGTGTTTTGTAGAAAAGTGGGTGACATATGCAATCGAATGAATGTTAGCCACTCATGATGATCCTACAGTTTTGGTACTGTCATGGAGTCGAATTTTAGTGGTAGAGTAGGAGGGTTGCTAATCTGCCTTTTGGTTGAAACCATCCAATCATGCAGCCAACTGGGGCAACTCCCGACTAGTTTGAATGTCGAACATGCATACTCCTACTGGTCATATGGTTCTGAGGAACTAATCAGGGAATTCTGTTTACTTCATCTAGAGAACTGACGGAATCGAGACCCCGGGAATATGGTTACTGGGGTAACCTACTCAACTTCTAGAATTCATTTAAAAAGTAGCTACAGTAAGTGAGTAGAGCTGTAGATCACCACATAGACGAATCAGCAGTGGCGCTTATGGCTCTGTTTACTGGACACCTTATTACGCGGACGAATAATGCGGCATGAGTTAAATGTTGTATGTGAATGGCGTCCTGTTGTGAGTTAGAAAATATTGCCAGAACGCCCAGGTTTAAACAGCAGCGTACCTAGAATCTTTACCGAAACTTATGATGTTCGTGGTCTTTCACAACTAATCGGTGTGATTAGGCATTCTGCCCACAATGTTTGAAAGCCATGCATGCAGACTACGTTATGGAAATGACATGGGTTTTCGCGATTGCCGGATCGCTTCTAACACTTTCGACCACTTGCACTTTTGTCAGTGCTGAAGACGATTCAGCGACATACAGAGTAGGCGCTTTACTCATCACAACTCGCTTATTTCTCTTTTTTGGACTGTTCATTTGTGATAGATCATTTTTAAGCTGCTTCATCCATGGTCGGATAGCCTTTCAAAATCCTAGATATTCATAGTTCCACGCGCATCTTGCGACAGCTCAGCATAAACTAGGCTCAGTTACTCCCATCACACGGTTTCTGACCCTAGTCTCCGTTTTCATTACTGCTGCTGTATACGTTTAATCAACCGGAAGTGTAACCTTGCATTCCACATGACTGAAAGGATGTTGAGGTGGAAACCTTGTAAGCTTCAAGTTTCTTCTTGCTTTTAGTTTCGATTTCTCATCGATCATGTTGCAACCTGACAATACGGAACTACTTTCATCAGCTGTTGCACTTTCTTTTCTTGAGTTGAAGTTGTTAGGCCGTTTACGGTTTTCCTGCGGAAGAATAGGTATCCATCACGACCCCAGAAGGATTTGAGAGCGCTGTTTACCAACAGCTAGTCCCACTGATAGATCATTTGATTCTTATCAACACCAGGCGTGCACGCCAATAAATCTATATTATGTCCCCTAATCCCAGTGACTGCAACCCATTGGTTTAGTGGACAGTTGCTTCGACTACAACGTGAGGCTTATTCACGGGTAGTGGGTTTGACTCGTTGGCTTACATGAGTCTGATGAGGCCCAACAAGGTCGAACTAGCTGTTACCCGCCTCACTACTGATATTTGGAGCCAACTGTTTGAAACAAAATTACTTAGGTTGGCAAATGAAACGATTGAAACCCTTAACGTTAACCTTATGTTATTCTTAGTAGTGAATAACATTCGACGCAATCTTGTCATAGCACCTTTTCTTCTTATGTATTTCGGCACGCCTTATCCAAGTTATCCATATGAGTTAGATGATTTCACGTTATTTTATATATTTTTGGTTAATCTATAACTAACAATCCCATGCCACGTTGATTTCCTTGCTCTTACACGGAGCTAGCTCGTGAAGCTGGTCTTGTTGCGAGCGTCGAAATCTAAGCACATCTGGAAAGCCTGCCTGATAAGGTTCTAAGGACCTTCAGCGACTACTGTTCTATTTCGTGTGCCGGAACTTATTGCTTTCCCAGTTAGAACTTATGTGTCGATCACGTCGGTAGTCGGAAGCACCGTTGGTTTATGACCCGAAGAGGCCAACGAGTCATTATGTAATCAGGTTTCTTTTCCAGGTCTTTCTAGCCTTTTCTGTACGGCAATAAGGGCTTAAATATTCTGTGAGGGTGTACCGAATGCAAACACCTTTATACATTTTCCAGTTTAAGATGCCTCGATGTCAATTTAAGACGTCCCGAATTACTGGGTCCAGGTGAACTAATTTTCTTCACTCTCTTCAACCAATCTCTTTTTTTTGTCTACTCATTTGCACATTGGCTTTGCGATCCTACTCAACATTGAACCCCAGCTAACCCCGTTGGAACATCTCGAATCGACATCGAAACATCTCAAACAGTTAACAGGACATTCACATAACCTTTATATGTGAACGTACATCCGTGTTGCTTATTTTGATTCCACAGTTCCAACTGCGTTGTGTTCCTTCGTTTGACGGTTTACTCGACCTTCG